ACCACCTTATCTATCTCCTGAGAAATCTATATGTGGGACAGGATGCAACAGTTAGAACTGGATATGGAACAACTGATTGGTTCAAAGTTGGGAAAGCAGTACAACAAGGCTGTATATTGTCCCCGTTTATTTCACTTACATGCAGAATACATCATGTGAAAGGCTGGGCTGGAAGAATCCCAAAATGGAGTTAAATTGCCGGAAGAAATATCAACAACGTCAGATATGCAGTTGACACCACTCTGATGACAGAAAGTGAGGAGGAATTAAAGAACCTCTTAATGAGGGTGAAAAGGAGAGCCCAAAGATGCTCTGAAGCTCATTCTCAAAAAAACCTAAGATCATGGTCACTGGTCCCATCTCCTCCTGGCAAATAGAAGGGGAAGATATGGAGGCAGTGACCAATTTTACTTTCTTGGGCTCCATGATCACTGCAGATAGTGACATCAGCCACGAAATTAAAAGATGCCTGCTTCGTGGGAGGAAAGCGATGATAGACCTAGATGTCACAAAAGGGTGATTAGTGGACCTTTTGTATCCCAAGAAGAACTATATTAAACAGCAAAGGACCTCACAAGACACATTAACAAATGCAAAATGAATATACTTTATTACCTATTGATTACAATTCTAGATAAAGGAGTTTCATGCATTCAGCGCATTCACACCACTTACATACTCATCAAAGAGAGAAGAATTCTTTATCTGCATTGTTGTTCCAAAGAAAGTAGTTAGTTCCAAAAGCCTTTTGGTTTCGGCAGACAAATTATGATTGCTAGTTGGGCATGTGTAATAGATGTTTCTTTGTCTCCGGTTGCTAGCTGGGCATGCGTATTAGATGTTTCTTTGTTTCCCCCTAGATACAGTATATGGTACTTATCACTTATTGTGAATTATGGAATGCTTAATGTATCTTCCATCACTTAGTGGACATCTGTGGAATCTGCTTTGCTCAGGAGGATCCTTGTACCAGGGTCTTCTTAATGCCCTTTGCATTTGCTGCCCTCGGCAGCAGATGTGTTTTGTCAACTTAGTTCAAAACGTTCACAGTTCAAAAGTTGAACTTCTCACAATGAGGGCTTCTAGCTAGAAATACAAAGTCCCAAAGTTCCTCTGGTTCTGTTGGTCTCCATCTTTGTGTCCTAGGTCTCTCTCTGGTTCTTCACCTGATCCAGGCCAAACATGCACACATCTGACATAGACAGCATCTTAAAAAGCAGAGACATCACCTTGCCAACAAAAGTCTGCATAGTCAAAGCTATGGTTTTTCCGGTAGCGATGTATGGAAGTGAGAGCTGGACCGTAAAAAAAGGCTGAAGAATTGATGCTTTTGAATTGTGGTGCTAGAGGAGATTCTTGGGAGCCCCCTGGACTGCAAAGAGAACAAACCTATTCATTCTGAAGGAAATCAACCCTGAGTGCTCACTGGAAGGACAGATCCTGAAGCTGAGGCTCCAATACTTTGGCCATCTCATGAGAAGAGAAGACTCCCTGGAAAAGACTGTGATTTTGGGAAAATGTGAAGGCAAGAGGAGAAGGGGACGACAGAAGACGAGATGGTTGGACAGTGTCACCTAAGCTACCAACATGAATTTGACCCAACTCCGGGAGGCAGTGGAAGACAGGAGGGCCTGGCGTGCTCTGGACCTTGGGGTCACGGACATGACTTAACGACTAAACAACAACAAATTTTAGAATGCCATGTAATTGTCGCATAGGAACGCTAGGGGGCACCATACAACTACTGCAATAGTACGTGTCGTTCATAAATGAATTCTCAATGACAAACATTTTATGTAGACGTTTTATTCAGTTTTGCATTTATCACATAGGTTTTGAGGTTTCTTCACCCTCTCTTTAGAGAGCAAAAGTGACGTGTACTCATAGGAGATGACAGAGTAATTCAGGACTTATATTAATTGGGCCTCCCTCCCCCATGTAGAAAACAAAGAGGTTTCCTTTTTAGATCTTCTTTCGTGTGGGAGAGGGAATTGAATGTTTGAACTTTTCAATCTTCAGAAAATGCCCTGCCAATATTTCTTACTATTGGGAGATAAACGTGAACCGTCTACTATTTCTATGGAATCTGAAGGTGAGAGTAGTTCACAATATCGTTTATAATACTGTACTGTATAGTGTAGTATCGTTCTCCCCATTTCCGTATGTGTGTATATGTGCTGAGGCTACAACGGAGTAACAAGTGGGATCACTTCGTTATAATTTCAGAAATAAGGAGTTGCGTGAGGATGGTGAATTCTTTCACGGGTGTGTGCAGGGAACTATCGTTCGTCGTAAATGCTGCCACCTCTTTGTTATACGAGGCGGACAGATGGACTCTGTAATGAAGTCTTCCAAACAAAAGAACACGCAATAGGTTAGAAAGAGTGTAGGTTCTTCTCTTTACTTGTTTGTGCATGCACAAGTTGCTATCCGGAGACAGCAACTCTAAAATCCTGTGGCTCTGCCCCGTGAAGGGGGGGGGAGAGAAGAATAGAAGAAACCAGGAAGCTCGATTTCCGCCCAACTGCTTTATCTCTCTACATTTTGTGTCTATAGGCTGGAAAGCCGGAAACGCCTTCGCCGCTCAGCGCTCTTCCGCCTTCCGTGACGTCAGGACGTAGAAACGGGGTGTGTGAACCTAAAGGTTTGGTCATGTGACAGGGAGGGGGCTCCCTCCCGGAAGTGTACTTCCCCCGTTGGATGATTGAGAAGCGAAGGGATGGCGGCCGTTACTGTGGGGTCTGGGGTATCTCGCCCCTTACCTGGGCCAGGAGTGGGACCGGGGCCGGCGGAGGGAGCAGATGCTCTTTTCGTGGCACTAAGTGCCGGTTTCACGGCTTTGAGCCACCCGCTGCTCTATGTGAAGCTACTGGTGCAGGTGCGGTTGGGGTGGAGGTCCTCCCTGCCCCTACCGGAATGGCACGGAGGGGCCCTTTTGCTTGGAGGATGTGAGAGGCAGTTGTGAAGGAGGCAGGCAGGGACTGCCAGGCCGGGCCTTGGGATGGAAAGGGCTGACTAGCTGGCTTTCTTGAGATATTGTCCCAAGGCATCCTCCCACCGTGCAGCTTTGGGTCTTCACGGCCTCGTGAATGGCCCAGTTTAGGACTCCACTTCTGGATTGTGTGGCAGAGAGGACCATGCTTTATAATTCCAATCAGCACTCCTTTTGCTGCCTGGATAGATACTCCACGATGCAGGGTTTCTCAAAGCTGCTGCTTAAAATGGGAGACCAGGACACTGCCTTACCGTGAAAATCTGCTTTTGATTAGTTATGTCAACTAGTTGTGAGTCAGACTACATGCAGAAGTGCATCCCAGCTTGTCACTTGAAATATATTTTAACTTGAGAAAAGTCTAACTAACCGCTGATCAGAAAACCATAGAAATCAAGTATTGGTGTGGCCACAGCATAGCCATCGTTTCTTGGTTTATTTCACCAGACTAGGTATGAGTCTCAGCTTGAAAGAGTTGATAGTTCTGGCGGGTTGCTCTGTTTTTGTTTTTCCAAAGGAGGAGTAGCAGAACATGTATGTAAGATCAATTCATTTGCAAAAGAGTTGTAGAAATGAATACAGCAGGAATGGAAAACTACTGAACTGGGTTCTCTTGGGCATAGTTAGGGAATGTCTTGCCCTGTAGACGATGCTGTATTGCAGCTCCCATCATCCTTGTCCATTGGTTCAGCTGGTTGGCCAGTTGGGGTTTGGAGTACATAGTATATGGCATAAACCTAACCCTGTGACTAAAGATCAGTGGTAGGTGTGATACTTGCACACAGCAGATGTTGCCTGACTGGTGTTTCTTTTAAAGGTTGGGCATGAGCCTCTGCCTCCAACAGTTGGGAGAAATCTATTGGGGAGAAAAGTGCTTTATCTGCCTGGCTTTTTTGCATATGGTGAGCATGCCCTAATAAGTAAATTTGCCAGTGGATAAGGATAATTAGAGAAATGTAGCACTCAAAAATAGTTGATAAAGCAATGTTAGCAAAAAGCTGACGTGATATACATAAGTTAATTATTCTTTAATAAATTTTATTTGTGTATTTTTAGTGAGAACATAAAATTTTACAATGGAAGACTTATGTATTCTGTTTTAGTTAAGAGTTATTCTTGCAATAATTGCAAAATTTGATGGCGCACAATATTTTAGGAGAGTGAGAAGACATAAGTGTACAGTGTCCCCACTGATATTTTGATTGTGTGTGTTTTGGGGTTTTACAATTTTGCAACAAGTTACTAATGCTGTTAGACTTAATTCTGTGTAGACAGATAGGAGTGTACTAATTTTTAAAAGTCTGATAAACGATTCCTGTTGCTCTTTCTCTTAGACTGCTAATGGTTTTGTGAAACATATACATTGGCAAATGTCACATGTATTGTAGAAAAATTACAGTGATGCCTCGCTTAACGGGCACCCTAAAAACATTACAGTGATGCCTCGCTTAACGGGTGCCCCGTTTAATGACAAAATCGCATAGCGATCACATTGCGATGTTTCAAATTGGCAAAAATCGGTTTGCGATGATTGGTACCCCGTTTCACTTACCGATCATCACAAAGTGATGATTTTTAACAGCTGATCGGCAGTTCCAAATGGCCGCCAGGTAAAAAAAATGTCCGCCCGCTGTTTTTTGTGATGGATTCCTTGCTTACCGGGCAGCGAAAATGGCCGCTCTATGGAGGATTTTCATTTAAAGGTGAGTCTGAAGCCCATAGGAACACATTGAAGGGGTTTCAATGCATTCCTATGGGCTTTATAAATTTGGCATAGCGATGAAATTGCTTTGCAGTGATTTTTGCTGCACCGATTATCATCGCTATGTGAGTCACCACTGTATTTGGTTTCCAAATGAGTAAAAGATAGTTAAGGCATAAAGACTTATAACAATAAACATAAGATAAAATTTTATTTTTGAGGCATAAGCTTAGATGGGTGAGGATTTAAACTCCAATTGTGTGCATTTGGTGATCATGAATGACTGTTTCAATAAAATTCCTTTTGGTAGAAGACTTGATAGGGATACTGGAATGACATTTGAGAATCTCATTCACTTCATTGTGTCATACTACATTTGTAATTATTTGAAAGCAAAATATTTGACTGCTTTTGCACATACAGTGGTGCCTCGCTTAAAGATGACATTTGAGAATCTCATTCACTGCATTGTGTCATACTACATTTATAATTCTTTGAAAGAAAAATATTTGACTGCTTTTGCACATACTTTTTTTTTGCATGAAACAGATTACCTACTAAAAGTGGCAGACAGACTTAGAATGACAAAAATTACATACTTGGTAGCTTACTTCTAAAAAAGTGTAGCCATGGGTATATTGTTACAATTTTAGAGATGGTTTGTGTTTGTTCTTCCCTACTGCTGTTTTGTGTATACCGTTTTAACATTGTGGTTGTTAAGGTTGATACAATAAACAAGCATAGGAAGAACTGAAGGGGAAATTGATTTTAAAAAAATAAAGATCACATTACTGTATAGTCTTGTTTTATAAGGGAACAAATTGTGCTTTGCAAGAAGCAAAGGATTAGGTAATGCAGGACAGTTTTGTACTGCTACTGTAGCAAACAACTAGAGCATTCTAATATACAGTAATTACATTGGGGCACATGTAAATTTTTTCCATTCTGTCGAACCATTTAATCCATATATTAATTTAGTATCTATACAGTTTGTTTCAGCACATTTTGCAGATTATAACGTAAATCCTTTTGGGTGGAAGGAGGAAGCACAATGAAGCCCAGGTTAAACAAATGTTCATCTTCTAACAAAGCCCAATAAAATCCCATGTAACTCTTAAAGATAGGCAGACCAAGTTACAAGGATAGTTGAAAATGCCAGGTGTTTCCACATTTTGTAGTATCTGTGTTAGCAGCCAGTCTAATGCCCTGATAAGGATTTAGATAGTTAGTCAGCTGAAAATTGGCACCCCTGAAAACTGATAAAGTGTTTTCTTCCCCAGCCGGGCACATTGTGAAAGTCGATGGCAAAAGGGGACTTTTCCGTGGCCTTACTCCTCGTATCCTCTCTAGCACTTTATCTACCATAAGCCGGGGCCGAGTAAAGAAGGTAAGGTACATGCTTGCTCTCCTTGCTGTATGGGGGGGGGGGTGATTGTGAATTGATTTGTGATAATTTCTTCTAAAAACCAAGTTAGCATTTGATTTTAAGTGGAAATGGAATGCTAACTTCATCTCTGCCCATTGTGATTTGGAAGGAATTGAGCTTCAAGGACGACAGCAGCAGCAGCAACCACCAGAACTCATTAAGCAGAAGCAGTAGATCTTTTTATGGGTGCTGAGGTGCCAAGATACAAGAGCACTAACAGAAGGTGGCTCCTCAGCAATAGGAACCTCTCAATGCATCTCTAATGTCTTTGATTTTCTGAGCCATTTCCTCCATCCTGCAGCATTATGGGTTCTCCCCCCTTTTTTTTGTTATAACCCAACACTGATGGTTCCTCTGGTCCACAATTGAAATTAATTGATTATTAAGTCACCATCAGGTTGGTTTAGGAATGTCTGAATTCCTTCAGCCTCACAAAAATAATGAGGTCCTGATCCTCTCTTATTGACCGTTTATTTCCTGTGAGAACTTGTTAGTTGACACTTCTTGGCCTGTTCTGCCTTTGACAGTGGGGCTGTTGATTTCACTTTCCTAATTTTCAATGACAGCTCCTCATTAAGGAGGGGAGTGGTGCTGCTCTGTCTCCTGCCAAGAGGAGTTGGCTCGCTTCCACCTCATCTCCTCCTGCTGTGTGCAGGGAAATGCCAAAAAGCTGAACACTGTCTAATTCAACTATGCAGGCCACCACCTCCCCTTGCTCCCTTTTTGTCTCACTTTCTGCGTTGTTGAAAAAGGGAAAGAGAGACTTGTTCACACTTCTTCAGAGCTTGAGCATGCAGCCCTTCTCACACTGTTGCTATTGCTTAGACGCAAGGTGATGTGTGCAAGCCACATGCTTGCTTTCAAGGAGGAAATTTTCAAAGCAGTCTCAGCTTCTTCCAATGTTTCCATGATGCAGAAGTTGTTTGCAATAGTGTGGCACAAGGGGAAGGAAGTAGAGAGGAGAAAGGGAAGATATGTGTGATGTTTGAATCCTTGCTCCATTATATAGTTCACTGAGCAATTTCAGTCATGTCATTGGCCAAAATCTTATTCCTTAGCACAATAAATTGCACTTGAGTAGGCCCATTGAATCAATGGGGAGAGTCAACTCTGTCAGTTCCATTGATCCAAATGGGTGTGCTCTGACTGTGATTTACTTTCGCACAGGAAATTGTGGTTAGAATAGCCCCACTTGAATCTACAGGATTTGGGTCATTATCTTTCAACTTAAACTACCTTGTGTAGTTTTTATGAGGGCCGTAGCATTCCATATGTTTTCTTGAGTTCCCTAGAGGAAAAGCAAGATATAAATGTGATTAGTTTTCATTCTCTGTAGCTGTGTTTAAGAGATAAACTTATAAACCATATTATTTATATGAGGGCCCATAATGGAAATATTGTTCAACATAGAAAAAATTTCAAAAGCAGATCACGTTCATATTTACTTCTTTTCTCTTTTGTATTTAAGGCTTTCCCTTTGGAGGATATGGAGCACGTTTCTAACAAGGATGATGTGAAAACATCCCTCCGGAAGGTGGCAAAAGAGGTGGAACTCCCTATATTGTGCTTTATCTTTCGGTACTCAATATAGGAAAGCCTAGATTGGAGGCTGGTTCATTCCTTACTCCTTCCTATAAAAATAAAAATAATTTGAAAAAGTTATTTGGATCAACATTGTGAGAAAGTAGAAAAAACTTGTCTGAGTGGAATGAAATTATGGACACATGAATTTGCCATTACGGTGGAGGGAGATTCTGTGGGAGGAAAGGAGTGGTTTAAAACAGGGGTGGGTAACATGTGTGCCCCTTGTCAGCATTTGCCTGTGCTGCTGAATTTTGGCAGTGCCACAACAGCAAAAAGACCCCTAATTTTAAAAGGTATGTGTGGGTCCTGCACCTTTTTTTAAATATAAATGGCGTTGTGTGTAATCCCCACCACTGTATTTTAATGCCTTGAAAGCAAATTCAGCAGCAGAAGCAGGATGTATTCCCTTGTGTGTTGAGAGGGTAGTGCAGCCTCTTGCTGCCCCTGTAAGGTAGTGGTGACATGATGGAAGTCACTGCATTCTGTATGTTCCAGCAAATAGTTTTGTCACTTAAGGAAGCAAAGTAAGGCACTTAAAATAATCAATTTCCCACCTAGTTCTACTGATTATAGAACCAGTTGTGGTCAGACCTGTTTTTAAGAGAGTTTTTCGCATTATGCTCTCTTGATATGTTTCATCAGACTTCCCATGAGATGATGATGCAGTGCGTTTCCCGAGTTATTTCCCATCCCCTACATGGTAAGTTTTGTAGCCTGCCCTTTTCAGTTCTTGTCTCTGTACATTATTGTAGATAAAGAAGATAAGGGTTTTGTTTGTTTGTTTGTTTTTTGGAAGATGAATTGTTTCTTTTAGGATTGGCAGCCTAACCTTGACAGGTCCACCTTCCGTCAGTCAAGTTTGAGATTATTTTATCTACTGCAGAAAACAATTACTTCTTTCCAGTTGTTAAAACCAGCATATGGAAGAATAAACATTATGACTAGGGGCCTATTAAATTAGTTATTCTATTGGTTAGCCTTAATACATTTGGCTCAGGATAGAAATGTAGTAGATCTACCTATTGTATTTTGTCTTTTGTTTACATACTTTTTTTCCTCTGTGGTTATGTGTGTACAAATATGAACCTCTAGCAATTGTAGAAAACATGTCATGCATCTGACAGAGTAGGCTTAAAGATTGTCAGTCTTTAAGGTACTAAAATATCATGCTTTTGCTATGATGGAGGAATACACTTTTTATAGTTCTGTTCAAGATAATGAAGGGAGAACTGTAGCAGACAGAATATCAGTATTCTGGAAGTGGTGTTAATGTTTCACATACTGCTTAATAAAGTTTTGTTAGATGGTTGAATAGATTGTCTTCGCAGTCATTTATATCTCTATTTCTGTACTGTAGTCATCTCTATGCGCTTCATGGTCCAGTTTGTAGGACGGGAAGTTAAATACAGGTGAGATTATCTTGGCATTCTGCAACTGGAGGTAAGAATACTAACAAGGGCATTTTTTTTACTCTGTTTACGCAGATGAGCTTCAGCATTCACAGTATCACAATTCTCAAACTTTCATATGTCCTGCATCTTTGCTTCTGTGTAAATATCATCACTGTAAAATTCATTAGCCAGAATCCTACTGGTTATTTATGTATGTGTAAGATACAAAATGTAGAAGTTGTCTTCTGGTGACTTACTGATGAGGTGCTGAGTGCATGCCTGGCATGCAGTGAGGCAGCTGATCACAGCAGGCAACTGATATCTCATCAGTAAATCAGTGTGATTTTTTTTCTTCCGAGTGCATGAGCAACAAATAAGAGTATTGCCTGTGTGGTTTATTAAATTGTCTTTTTCTTGGGGGGGGGGAATAGGATCCATAACATCTGTGAAATATCTCAATGTTTTAATCATACAGAAACTCAAACTACTACAAATTTGCTGGTGCACTTGCACAGTTGTCATGGTGAAGGATCAGTCCTGTCAGTCAACCTGAGGAATGAACCTCTCCCTAGTGATTGGGGCATATTTTGTTTTGATCATTTACGGTAGAAGTATGATTGGGCCTTATCCACCCTTCCCAGAATAATTTGCAAGCTAGAACACAATGATCAGGTTTTCACACTTCCCACTGAATTGTGGGGTATGGTTTTCAGATTTCAAAATGTGTTAAAAATGTGTTTGTTAAGGGAAAAAGAATACAAAAAAGGCCTACATTAGGGAAATCTAGATTTTTGTGTGCAGACAAATGCATATGCATTTTCATGCAGACTTTTAAAAATGACATTTCACAAAGTTTGTAAAAACAGGATAGAAAAAAATTGCTTGGAAAAAAATGCGAACAGTATAGAAAGCATTGAATATGCCTGCCATTGCTTGGTATCCACTAATGGGTATCGGATAATTTCAGAACACGTTATTGGGTTTGCCATTGCTAAGTGAGGCAGGTTTATTTAGCTTTTTCTTTTTTTCCTAAAGGAAGATTGTTTGTATTGTGATTTTACAAAGACTTCTTTGTTTATATCTTTGTCTGTGATTATTGGGAAATGCTACTAAAAGTTTCAAGAATGGGAATGTTGCTGTTGCTCTTGGTGGTGGTTTGCTGTGCATACTGTAATAACACTAGTAATAAACTCCCGATTTGCAGTTGGATTATTGAAATGTCATTTACTGTATTCTTCTCTCCTATATTGGATCAGACTGGTAGCAACTGCAGGGATTTACTGCAAAATAAAGAGATGTGTGAAGTCTTTTTTGGATCTAACTGCCATTTCCCCCCCTTCCCTACAGAGGGGTGTTCAGCTCAATTGGGACAATCTGGAAAGAAGAAGGACTCCTAGGATTCTTCGTGTACGTGAGTCTATTCAAATTTCTTTTAAAATCTCATTCAGTTAGAATCTGTTCTTTACATGCTTGGGCAAGGTTGGAGGAGGTCTTGGGCAAGTAAGTGTTCATTCGAAACAGTGATCTGCCAACAGAGGATGTTTCTGTATTTGCAATTGGGAAGTCAGCAGTGCTTGTTGTGTTGTACTGGTTAGAGTGTTGGGTAGACTTGTAAGATCTGGGTTCTGGTTCCCATATAGCCATGAAACTCTCTGGATGACCATAGATCAGGTGCTTACTCTCAGCCTGACCTTCTCCACATGGCTATTATGAGAATAAAGTGGGGTGGAGGAGAACGCTAATTATATCTTTGATCTCATTAGAGGAAAGGTGGGATACAACTGTAACAAATATCAGCAATTATGTACGTTATGCTTGCCCTTGTTTGAAGACCCTTTTGTAATTCTAAGACTTCTCATAGATGTAGCAGAGAGTTTGGGGGACAGGGTTAATATAAATTGCTGTTCAGCATTGTCAGCTCCTAATATCTTCTGCATGTCAATAGAAATGATAAGTAAGAGCACATCACAAATTGCTCCTCGTCCCTTGCACCCTTTTGTGCATACAGTTAGAGCTTGGAGCATTTACTGCAAGGAGAGCAAGACTTAGTATTTAAGTGACAATAATTATCAGTGATAATTCTGTTTTAAACAGACTATCCTGTGAGCCCTTTTAAAGCACAAAAAATGTTTAACGTGATACAACGTGCTGCTAAGAACAGTTTGACACCAGGGTTGTTTAGTTGTGAAATTGTCAATCTGTTACCTGATTAACAGAAATAATGCAATAAAGAAACCAGTCTGCTTAACACACCAAAAGACTAGAGCATTTAGAAACTGAAAGAACAAAGATTTAATAAGATGTAGAAGTGCTTACAGTCCATGAGTTACATCCTGTTGTTACATCTCAACTCAAGTGAAACTATTGAATGAATGAAACCTTTTAAGTCAACATTTATGTAAATTCCATTAATTCAAAGGATCTGCTGTAGTTGGGATTAATAATTGGGTGTAACTCCGTAAGAATAGCTAAAGTATGAACAGTGAACTTTGGGGTTAACAGACCCAAAGCAAGCCAGTGTGAGCCTCTGGGCAATATATTTTCTCCACTGTGTTCTGCATGGTTCCTGGTAGCGCACAGTGAGAACTATGATTGTTTAGTAGCAGCAATAGTGAATCAGAAGCAAGAATGAGCCATTATAGAGGCATACACTGAAATTATGTTGCACACCTTGTGGAAACAACATCAGTGGCAAATTGCCACTGTGTAAAGGCTTCAGGCTAAGGACCACTCACACACAATGTGACAAAGTTACTTGAAATTGCAAAAGTGAGCCTTAATCAGTAATGATCCGCTGCTGCCAATGATGTTGTTCCCATTGCACTAGCACCCAACAATATTTTGATCATAGCTTCTAAACAGTATTGAGTTCAGGATGCGTCACTAGTTTGTAAAATGTTTTCTTCTGTTCCCACTGTACAAAGTGCTTTGCAGATGATCTAGAATGTTGCAACCAGACTTTTGATAGGATCCAGTTACAGGAAGCATGTGACTCCTTTGACATAACAATTTCATGGTTGCAGGTCTGTTTCTAGGTAGAGTTCAGAGATCTGATTATGACTGGTGAAGCCCTGTATGACTTAAGACAAGGCTCTGAAAGGTCATATTCTGCTTTATAAGCTTGTTTGGGCTACATGTGTTTTTGTGGTGGTCGTTCTCTTGGTTGCAGTGCCATTAGAGGCACATTTGGTGTGGGCACAATAGAGTGCCTTCTCAGGAACACCCTGCTTGAACCAGAGGCTGATTTCTGTGTTGTCTTTTCATGATCAGAGAAACAGACACCTGTGGTTTTTTGGGGGGGCATTCAAGCTAGTTTGCCAGCTGAAGGGGCTTTTATCTGACTAGGTCTTTCGTTCTAGATATTGCTGTATTTCTTACTGTGTTTCTAACAGCTGGTTGTAAGTTTTAATTGAAATGTTGTGTTTTAAGTGTCTTGAGCACCAGATTTTGGTGGAAAGGCAGTATATAAATGTGATAAACAAATACTTGCTGTAGTTTAGGAATGAGAACCAGAAACCAAGTACAGTAGTGATATTGTCAGCCTGTGGATGGATCCACAGGCCCTTCTGTAACCTTGTAGTTACAGGCATACCATGGTAATTTATTTACCACTTGGTGTCATGGGAATGCATTTGGTGATGGATTAAATTGATCCTATTAAAATTATGATTATTTCTTCTCCAAAAATGTACTGCTGCTACATCAGTTAGGACTGGGTTGATAATCCTATGGTGGTGCTCCACCTGTTGATGGACATTATCCCATCATTTCTGACCATAGGCCATAATAGCTTGCATTCATGAAAGTTTGAAGTCCAGCAATATTTAGAAGACCACAAGTTTTCCTCCAGGGGCTCTGAAGTTCAGTGTTCTCAGCGCACTGATTAGGTCAGCATAATCTTTTGTATGTTTTCCTTAGTCCAGGCACATAGTTAATACATAGATATATATGTAGATATGAATGCTTTCATTCTCTAGACCAATATTTCCCAAACCTTTTCAAGTCACAACCCCCTTTCATAACAACCAAGGAAAGCGAAATGTGCTGTTCATATACTGTCTCATAGCTCCTAAAGCACTCTCTGGGCAATTTACAATTTTTAAGTAAATTGACTCCTCCCTGCTGTATTTGCATAAAAAGATCTAGGACCCATTTGGTCAAGGCTTTGCCCAGCTGCTGCTACCTCCTCGTTCTCTGACAGCAGCGACAACTTTCTGCTTGCTGCTGCTCCCACAGAAGAGGGAATTGACCTCAAGAAAGAGCCTTTGCTGTTGCCACCAACTGCTCCCCACCATGACTACAATATAAAATAACTACAGTGACACACACACCCCAAAAAACCACTTTTGGAACCCATGCTCCTAGAACCTTGAAGAAAATTCAGGTCTATTTCATCCAATCTTTCTCTTCTCTCTCTTCTAGAGGATTAGTTCCTCATATCTTAGGTGATGTTATTTTTCTATGGTGCTGCAATCTTCTGGCTCACTTGATCAACACATATGCAGTGGATGACAACGTGAGTGGTAGCTCTTCTGAATTTCTTCCATTTCTTGTTTGTTTAGAGTAGGGCAGGAAACTGAACCAGCCTGCCAAACTAACCAGGGACAGCAGCAAAAGCTGTACACTCCCCTTTGCCTTTTAAAATAGTATCACATTTCTGCTTATTGGAGCAGATTTAGCGGCCTGGTGCCATGTGGTCTGTGGGGTGTATATTGCCCACTCTGATTGATATGTTGTTACTTATGCTGATAGCGAGGGAGAATGAGAGTCTGAAGGTCCTAGCATGCTTGTGAATAACTTCTTTAAGAAGTGGTAAGTTTGGGGGGGGGTTAATGAAGGTATGAGAAAGGGAGAAATAGAAACATTTTCTCTTAACTCATTTCAATCCCGGTTGAAGCCTTTACGTGATTCTAATTGAAGGGGATGTGCCATCTGTGAGTGAGGTAACTCCCTGTTCTGCTCTCATAGTTCAGGATTGAAAACTCATGACCAGATGTTATTGAATAACAGCTCTCATGATCCCTCACCTTGGCCGATTGCAAGCTAAGGGAACAACAATCTTAGCATTTAGAAGGCCATAGGTTGCCAATTGTGCCATAGCTTCAAATAAGCATGACATAATTAAATGACAAATGTAACAGTGTTTGTTTTTTCATCTTGTTCTGCTTGGATATGACCTTCAGCAGTTTGACTCTTGCTGTACAGCAGCCATTGCGATGGAAGTGGCCTTTGCCATGATTTCTTCAAATCCTCCTCTGCGTGTGGCTCCTCTTAAGCACTGCTGCTTTCTCATAAACATTTTTGTCTATTTTGTCCCATATTAATTCAGTATAAGGAAATACAAAAATTCTCAAAACAATTTTCTGGAGCAGCTTATTAATAAACTCATGATTTTCACCCTTTGGGACATATGCTTCAATACTAAAGCAGGTGGATTGTGACCAAAACTTATTTCCATACAAGGACAGGGTGGACTCCACATAACTGGTGGACTCAATGGTCTTGGCTTTCCTCCTGATAGGTTTGTAACTGCAAAATCTTCAGTTGAAAAATTGCCGCTTAAGCCAAGTATACCTTGCTACCTGTATGGCTTGGATGCTGATAAGACTGCAGCTAAGACCTGACCATTGTTAACTATATTGCTCATTTCCTAGTATAGTGGTGCCTCGCTTAGCGATTGCCTCGTTTAACGATGTATTTGCTTAGCGATGAGGTTTTTTGAGCAATTTTGCGCTCCGTTTAGCAATGTTTCCTGTGGAGAAATTTCGCATAGCGATGTTCGGGACCATGCCTCGCTTAGCAATGACAGTTTAGGTCCTCCTGTTTCATTTAGCGATGTCCATTTTCGCTAATTTAAGTGTGTCTTAAAATGTTCAAAACTGTTTTGAATGCTTGGAATCGTTAGTGCACCTTGTAAAACCTTTGCAAACTTAATTTGGCTTTGTTCTGAGTCTTCGTTAATTTTTGGTGAATTTTTTTCTCCCCCATTGGAATGCATTGAACTGTAGGTTTGACAGCTGTCAAACGGATTATCCGGTTTTCAATGCGTTCCTATGGGAAATGGTGTTTCGCTTAGCGATGTTTTCCCATAGCAATGTTTTTTTTGGGAACCAATTAACATCATTAAGCGAGGCACCACTGTACTAGAATCATTGTCTGATGACCTTCCTGTATTATTTTAATGTGTCTGATGGCTTGAACTTTGAGACACCTCTGATTTCTTCTTTTCAGTTCAACCAGGCCTCTGTGATCCGGAGCTACACCAAATTTGTCATGGGGGTATGTAAACCATTGATTTTATTGGGAAAGTCAAGGGTATGGCTTTGTGCTTGTAAATCATTGTGTCTCCTTGTGTACATTGCCATAAGTACTGAGTAACAGCAGTTGACTTCTGGAGGTCAAAGCAGCTGGGTTATGATACTGTGGATTAGAATAATAATTGGCGACACTAATTATGTGACTAGCCAAGTGCAATGCATGAAACAAACACTCTGTTGCACACTATAGTAAATCTTTCACCTCCATGCCATGTCTCCTATTCTGAAGCTTTCTCCCCCACCACACTGGAGAGCTAGTCAATAGCATTAACTTGACTCAGTGCCGTATCTGAGCGTACCAAGTCCCTGCTTCTGATCCAGATGATCCAGGTTAGAGAAAAGGAAGGATTGCTTCTGAAAACATCAGTTCTCACCTTAGTGCTATGGAGCTAGGAATTACAGTGACCTATTGGCCATGTTCCTGAGAGTTTCCAGATCCACCGAAATGTTACTTATACTTGAGGAGCCTCTGTACTGCCAGTCCAAAATTGAATAAAGCCATTAATGAATTGCAATATGTACACAGAGACCCAGCTGCTGTTATAGCCTGTTCTTCACTTATAGAGGTCTTTTTCTGCGGACAGTGTTGTGTCCTTCACAGATTTTCTGTCAGTTCCAATGCTTACTAATTGCTTGTGTTCTTATTTTCTTTTAAACTGAGAGTTAATCTGCTTCTGATGAAATATATTTTCTCTTAATTTCTCCAAATACGCCATTCTATCCATTTTTCATTCTGCATGTCTGCTTGCTCTTTTGCTTAACTGTGTGGTGCAGACATGGCTACCACAGTCATTTCTTTATTTCAGATTGCTGTCAGCATGCTGACCTACCCCTTTCTTCTTGTTGGAGATCTCATGGCAGTAAACAACTGTGGGTATGTGATTTTGCCCCCTCTCTTCACTACAATGTAGTGTCTTAAACGAAAATGTCATTAAATTACTGCCTGTTCAGCAAAACTATTCCATGTACTTATTATTCCCTATACTAGAGATCTTAGACTTTGCAGATAAACATGAGTAATTCATCTTCCTCCCTCACATGCCAAAAATAAAAAAATAAATGAAGAGACTTTAGACTGATTAGTTTGGGAAAGGTTTTGCCTGAACGTACCGAGAGAAAAAGACCATTTTGGCGTCATATATTTGCAAAAAGCTCTATAAACACCAGGCGAAGAATTGTTGGCCAGATTACCAATTTGCAATTTGTATTCTATTGCCATTTTGCACTTATATGAGGAAAATTATGTAAGTCTTGGAAGCAAAGTGCCACTCATTAACTAGGCGCTCATTGTGTTTCTTTCTGGCACAGCCTTGATTGCGCAATCAGGTGTACCCAGGAAGGAAGGCAGTGCCTTGTTGATGAGTGGCAATGTGCTACTGAGGCTTAAGTGATTTCTCTCATGCAAGTGCAAATTAGCAACAGGATTCTAGCATCTGTCTTTTTCTCAAGCTTTTTAATAAGAAAGGCTGTAAAAGGACCTAAAATGATGGCTTACTTTTTACTCCAGTTGTTCTGAAGTACCTTTGGTTTGTGTGTTCTGTTGCTTGCTGCCTCCACCCTAAAATGGAAGCTCCGTATTTACTTCAGTTTTTACTGTTTCAATGATAGTGCCTGGATGCAGTAACTGCACTTGTTCCTGTCTGTGACTTGCCTGATTCTCTGTTGCAATTGTGCATTCTCTTCTTTGACTGCTGTCTTTGCTGTACAGGTTACTTGCTGGTCTCCCGCCATATGCCCCTGTATTTTCCTCTTGGATCCATTGTTGGAAACACCTCAGTGCTCAGGTGAGCAGCAGTTTTTATTCTAAGGTGGAACAGCTTTTAAAAAATGCCATCAGGAAAACCTGATTCCTGACCAAGTCTCTGTTGATGAAAAGCCGAACCCTTTTTGTCTTGAACTGGGAAGAAAGGAGTCCTAATTATGGAGAGATTTCTCTTTACCTTGTTTGCTGCTAAACGTGCAAAAGATTGCCGTCCCACCCTCTGCCTTAACTTGTACTTTTTCCACCCCCAATCATCTTGAAAGCAGTCTTCCCTGTCCTTGTGCCATCCAGATGTTGGTTGGACAACAAGCTCCCATTACCCCATGTTAGCTGGAGGTGTTGGTGATGGTAGTTTTTCAAGGTACCAAGTTGAGGAAAGCAGCTTTAAAATCTTTTCTTTTAGATCAGTGGTTCTCAACTGTGGGTAATCCAAGTGTTCTTGGACTGCAACTCCCAGAAACCCCAGCTAGCACAGCTGTGGGGAAGACTTCTGGGAACTTCAGTCCAGAACATGTGGGTTACCCAAGGTTGGGAACTACTGTTTTAGACTTTACAACCACTGTGATCATTCCTGTGGTGGATCTGCCCAATATAATCAGTCTATACTTTTGGCTATTGCATTATACTGAGAAGAATTTTTCTGGATATGTATAAAGGAAAAGACACAATTAGATAACTGTAGGAAAGAATTCACAGTTTTGTATTTTGTGACTGCTTTTTTTTTTGTTGTATAAAGCTCTTTGGTTTCTGTAACCTAAACGCCCAATTCACTTAAACATGGCCTCTCAAGGCTTCTCTTATGTTGATTTTGCTGTGCAAACCTCTTGCATTAAAATGGAACCTTTTTGCCAACCCTCTCTTTCATGCATTACTTAACCTGTCTTCCATGTAGCTTAGCTGTGATAAGGGAGTTTGAGCCTGTCAGAGGAGCTGAGAGCAATGCTATCTAGGAGACAAGACTCAGTTTTGAGCATGGACTCTTAGCAGGGCCACCCAATGTGGAATTGTCAAAGCTGAGATAGTAGACTAAGATGTATTCACACTACAGATAGGCACAAATTAAGTCCTGCCATTTTCCATCTTGTCCACTCATAATAGGACCTTAAATAGTTATGCTATCCCTACCCCAGGGCCATGGGGCTTCAGTGTAAACCCTTCTGATGTAACCGGTCTGCATGATTGCCAGCTCTTGCTCTTACAGCTCATGAGAAACAAAGAAAGAGATCTCAGTATCCTATCCCCCATAACTGTCTCCTCTTTTCTTCCTAGGGGCAACTTTTCAGAGGCTCCAGTCTGCTTTTTCGTAGAGCATCCACACCAGCAACTTTCCTTATTGATTAATTTCATGTAGGAAAAAGAGCCAGACCAAGTCTCTTCTAGAAAAAAGTGTAAACACTTGCTTTCATATTTCTATTTAATTTTTGAAGTCAGAGGTGAAAGAGCAAGAGCGCCTTCTCTCCGGCAAGTTCGGCTGATTTCGTTACTGCACCAGAGTGATTTAAGCTGCTAGATAAATCTTACCTATTGAAGGAAGGAGACTCTTTACCATGCTGATCAAAGCCTAAGTCAAAAGGGGCAGTCTGGCTGGGAAAAGACTATCCTTCAGAAGTCTTGCCTTGAGCATAGTTTTTCTTGAAACATCTGCCCTGATATGAAGAAACTAGATGAGATCTAGGTTGGTTTCAGTCTGTCTCCTTTGTTGCTGTTGTTAGACAAAACAGAAGTAGTGATTAAGCTCTGCCAACTTTGATCTGTCTTATTGGCTGTTCTATATGTTAAGCCCAATTCTGTTGGAATATCTTTTGTACCTAGGATTTGTCAGGACCACAGAAAGCAGCACTATTGCTGAATTCCAACCAGTGGCATATATAACTCTGAATCTTGGCTTGCTTTGTTAGCCCCAGGGAATGTGTCTTCCACCACCTGGACTTTTCTAGGGGATGTTCCCTAGTCAAATTCTGACATGCACACTAAGCAATTTTATCTGGGTTTCAATGAACCCATATTTCTGTGCACTTGAAAAGGATACTGAATACTAAATCAGTGTTAAACACTAAAGAGAGAATGTATTTTCTTAGCGGGAAAGTCTGGGAAGGTCCTAAGGTTGGTTATTGTTCACAAGCTTGATGTTTAAGCTAGAATCCAGCCTGACAGTGAAGAAACCAACAATACTAAAAGAGGTTCGGATCAGAAGGTAATACCACTAGGGCTTCCTTGCTTCTCATGCTGTAGTCAAAACCAGTCCATTTCTGAAGGGCAGGGAATTTTCTGAAGTGGGACTCAGTGTAGCACGGTGATATTCAGCTGTAAGTGAAAGGCACCAGTTTGCTATCCATTTGTGGAAGTGTTTTCATGAAGCCAGACCAAAATAGTGTAAGGTGTTAACCAAGAAATAGCATATTA